AACACTATAAGTACCATTTTAAAAAAAATTATGGAGCAACCTACGTACGTCATCAAATTCAACAGTCAAATCCAAACAAGTAAATGTGCAATTAATATGCTTATTTCAACAATGTTTTCATCAATATTTAATGCAACATTTTATTCATGATACTGTTCGGTGAGGCAAGAGTCTATGTTTGTATTTATTTAAATAAGATTCGATCGTATATGTGCATATGTTCTTTTTTGGTCTGCATTTGATGATAAATGAACGTTCGACTAAGTAAAAATAAAACAATATATACAATTTATTATGAAAGAAGAATGGATCATATCGCTTATGGATGAAACACACTATGTTAACATATCTCTTTTTTTCACCCTTGCAAAATGAGATACAACTCAGTCAAACGAAACGTCTGTGTTGACAATTGATACAAAATGAATGAAAAAAGTTATCAACTCACACATAGTCCAATGTTGAAACTGGATATTTTCCGTCCGGCCACATCATAAAGCAAACCGTCCTTGTTTTACCATTATAGTATCTGATTGCGTCCCAAATAAAATTGGTTATCGTTAAACGATTGGTGGTATTTCGATCAAACGTCATACGTGGGTAAAACAGCACATTTTATCCCAATTATAGGAGATGCAGCACAGATTTGCAGAAAAAAAGGGGAAAGAAAACAAATGTTAGGAATGCTTGATGCAATTAAATATATTCGATTTGTTAAGTATTACAGTGTGATGGATTCTATTAAGCATCACATAGATGAAACAAAAACGATAAATGTGTCCGTAAAGATCAAGCGCACAAAACCAGATGAAATGAATCATCGTCACCATAACGAAAAACCATTGACCCTAAACTGTCAACGGCTTCACAAGTCCACAGATGCCATTGACAATACTTACTGTTTTGATTCAGTCGTTGAATAAATAAAGCATGGAGCAGATAACAATGTACTCAGAATCCAGATGATGAATAACAATCGACGAGCTTTCTTTCTTGAATTTCTTCGGTGCAGAGGTCGAACTATCGCATGAAATCTTGATTTTGAAATTTAAAGAGGAAAAAAGACGAACAAGAATGGAAAATTAAGTGGGAAAGAGAAATTTTTATTTAAGAAAAATAGTTAATTCTTAACTTGTTTCCAACTTTAACCAGCATAAAAAAAAACTCGCAAAGGAAAAGTTTCGCAAAAAAAAACAACAATGTCCAGATGGAACAAACTTCAATATCAAAATGAAATATAATTCACTGGACGGAAATCGTCAACGACAAATTGTAAAATGTTGAAATAAAATCGTACAAGTTGAGATTCTTACCGTTCTATGATTGAACGTGACGCACGCATAAAGAAAGTAAACGAAAGACAAATAAAATACATATAAAACGTAAGATTTGTACAAACCAAACTATTACCAAAGAAAAATCACAAAGAACCAAGAAAGAAATGACGACTACGTAATGATACACACAAATTAATTGGAAAATCTCTCTATATAATATACATATTTCGTTGTACAACATACCGATTAAATGAGATTGCAACTAATGTGAATACGGACGTTGCCACTGTTACATTTCCAATGAAGTTGTTTACCGAGCAATAAAATTGGCCGAATGGCCAATCAGAGTTCAACATATAGATGAAATTGAACATACAATTTAATGAAGACATAAGCAGATCAGCAACGCTTAGATTTAATAGAAAATAATTGGTCGTCGTTCTCATTTCACGGTGAGCTGCAATGAGAAAGAGCAAACATTACATTAAGCAACATCAACAACAATAATACAAAATGCAATAGAGAGAGAGAGAGAGAGAGAGAGAGAGAGAGAGAGAGAGATGGGATAGAGAGGGAGAGAGATAGAGTAGAAAATCTAAGATGAACTTGACTTTTGTGCCATTTGGTGAGCAAACAGATATATCGATTTGTTAAATCCTATTCTGTTTCACTGTTTGTGAGAACGCGTTAAATGCCATTAACATTTCGATAAATCCCTATGCACGGGTAAAATAAAATTTACGTTCTATTATTTGCCAAATATATAATGAAAATCGTAGAACATCGTTGCTAGAATGTATCTATATGTATTGTGTTTATTGCTGCGCAAACACGTTCATTCAAATTTTATGTATTATTAAACGACACATCCAGAGTACACACGGTGGATAATAATTAAGGTTTTCATACTAACTGCTAAGCCAAGATAGCAGATCATTTCAGTGATATTGCCAAGTCATCGATTCCACACAAAACCCCAATGACGTATATCAATTTCAATGCTTATTTCCTTAATAAGTTATTATTGGTTTCTATAAGAGGCTTTTGGCATCTATAATTTTACGTATTCTGTATTCATCGCATGTCACCATCTATTGTCGTTGGTCGTTCAAATGGAATTGGGTAGTTTCTCCCGACAACAATTTCTTCGAACCATTTGAATCTCTGGTTCACTGAATTTTCCGTTATTTGGCCATCCATCGAACTAAGCATTCGCATTCAATTCAATCATTGAAACGAGAAAAAAGAGAAATTGAAACGGTGAAAATGACACTTTCACTTCAATTACACTGTTCAAAAAAAAGAGCGTTTTACAAAAATTGAACTTTATATAATTCTATCTTTTTCTTTCAAATTAGGCTTCCGATGTGTCAAAGTGTATTCGGCTACTCGTTCTGTAGCTAAAAGGGTTTATGGAATGGGACCTACAAAAGCACATGACAATATTAAGCCTATAAATTAGTTGAACGACTTATTTTTTTTTGCGCAAAAAGGGAGAAGAAACGGCAAACGATACAAGATTTCAATACGACAAAAAGCTTTGAACGGCTTATTTCGATATACAAAAGAATGACTACAAAACAAGTTGTTAGAAATGAAAATGAATTTCAACACGACATCGAATATAGTTTCATTCTCTTGAATTGGTTTTGTTTTGTTTACAAAGTGTTTCCATTTCAAATTAAAATGTATTTCCCTTTTTACCATCAATCGAGAAAAAACAACAAATCGTGGTTTCCGTCTTCTCATGCTTGCCGACCAAATGAAAAAAAAGGCATTCGCAATTCGAAAGATTGTTAGTAAGAACGTTGTGTGAAAGAGCGTAAGAGAAGAAGTAAACATTACCAAATGGAATCACTACAATAGAAGCGAAACTATCAACTTCATACTGAACGAAATAAATTGAATAATGTACATTGACATAAGTTAAATGTGCTTACAAATTTGTGCTTGTGTACAAAATAGCACCAAAATGAAAATATCGTTCAATTGAATCGTTGGCAAAACATTCCGACCAGAATGTCTTAACATTTATTTATGTATTATTTCGCATTCCAATTGGTATGTGTGTATTCCAACATAGGAGTATGCAGTGCATATAGTTTGTGGAATGCACATAGATAAATAAAAACGTGAAATTGTGAAAGTACACGGAAAGCGATCCGGTAGTTTTTGTGGTTGAAAGTCTGTTGAAGTTATACCTGAGCCTGATATATCATGTTTGAAATGGCATACACTACGTAAATGAGATAATGTTGCAAAATTGAAATGTAACGCAATTCTTTTGAGCTTTATGTGTATATGTGTTCAACACAATGGATATGTGAAATGTGATTGTGAGCGCTCTAAAATTGATTCATAGATTTGTGTTGAGCGATTTTCGCACAAAATCTATCTCATTCTACAGTGGATTCAGTGCTTGAACACAATGCATTTAAGAGGATTTGATTTGGTCCAATTTAAGTTGCTCCTTTTATGTGTTTCTCTTGTTTGCTTGGATTTTTCCCCCTTGATTCTGTTTCCATTCTTTTGAGAAATGCTTAAAAAGCATTTCAATTTTACTTTAATTTCGAAACTTTCCATCAATTACAAAATGATTGTTTGTGTTTGACGATAACAATATCGAATATCGATATATGCGTGAGCACGCGAAGCAAATTGTTTTCTTCCCTTCTTGCTTGCGTCGCCGCTTTTTTTTAATATACCGAAAATGGGTTTTCAAAACACTTTATTGGACCTTCAGAAAATCTAGCGGAAGAAAGAAAAAAAAAGCAAATGATGACGGATATCACCCGTTCGATTTGGTGCACGAAGTGTTGTTACAATGCTGAAATGTCGGAAATAAATAATAAAATTTGATCGATACGGTTGGATATAATGTGAAGATTTGCGACTCGTTTGGGAATTGGCAATAATATATATTCGCGGTGGACGTGCGCGCTTATTCCTCTTCTTTTTGGTATACACAAAAGATACTAGGATGCAGACACGCGAGCTGGAATATATCTCGAAATGTGCGTGAATCCATTCGATCGAACCGATTTTATTTCGTTGTGAGTGACAGGGAGATACATTTCATTGTTTTCTTTTTCCTCGTTTTCTGCAAAAATATGCGCGTCGAAAGAATTTATGTGATCCCTTGTATTTTTCTGGCCAAAGCCAATATATGTGCATAGATTTGCTTACTCGATCCACATCAATGCATACTATTCGTTAGTTTGAATATACAAAAATATTTTTCCGCGTGATTTGGAGGGATGCCATTTCTTTTTTTTATGTATTCTTTTTTTATAGTGTACGTTGGTTGTTCTATCTTTTCTTGAAAATGTTACCACAAAACCATTTGAATCCTTACCGACTCAAAGACGATGGAAAGAAAATAAAGAATATTTTAATGGATATATTCTATATATATATAATAACAATGTGGCTTAGATGCTTATTTTTATTGTTAATGGCGGTGTTACCTTTTTAGCCTTTCGAACTTGGGCGGCATTATTCATGAGCCACCCAAACATATAAATATTCTGCATTTCGAAAGTATTTATTATAATCACATTACAATGGTGGGAGGGGGGAAAAAGACAAATTTCTCTTACCCAATACAATCCATATGACTATGCTGTTTCCAATGATGGCCGTGAAGAGCATTGTACCGAATAAAAATGTCCATAGCGCTTTTTGTTCCACAGATATTTCGTATGGACGTTCTGTTTGAGGCTTTAGGCATTCACCGATAAATTCCCTATGACAAATTCAATAGAAGAAATTCAGTTTTTTTTAAAAAGGACAAATAATTACAATAAAACCAAGAAAAAGGAAAAATAAACGAGCGGACAAAATCTGAGTCAAGACAATCCAAACCACAAATGCAATTAATTTTATTTCAACCAATAGGCAAAATCATGGAAAAAAACACAGGCACAGAGAGAAGAACTGAATACAATAAAATTCTGCTACTTACTGATAAATGTTTGGATTGTACAATGGGGAATCAAGTGCATTTGTTTGCAGACTGTCATTGTAGTCAACATCAGCGGCTGCGGCGTTGGCGGCAATGGCGATTTGGTTACCAAATAATGTAGAATTAAACGTACTAGTTATGTTATTGAAATTCGTGTAAGTATTGTTGTCTACAACTGAATGTAGCCGAAGCTTTTGCAGCATACAGTTCACCATGAATGACGCCTGGGATTCCATATTTGTGTGGACCGAAACTTAAAAACTCAAATGAAACCTTAATGGAATACAAAATAGAAAATAAACGAGAAAAAAACCTGGTCAAAGAAATGCGTTTTTCTTCGCTTTCGCTTCTTCTTTTTTTGGTCACATTTCAAATTTGATTATTTTTTTTTTGGTCTGAGGGTAAAAGTTCGGGCGAAAAATCTTCTGAAGTAAAAAATGAATTCACAGCATGCTATTTATTAAGTTGGCTGCCGTATATTACCACATCAAAAAAACACATCACTTTCACGAACTGTGGAAGCGCGCGAGAATGAAAATCACTTGAAATTGCCAAATTATTTTCGCGTATTGTGTTAGTGATTGTTTTTGTATGCAATTTTCTTGCTGTTTCTCTTTTGCACCGTGCGATGGCATCCAACAGGCACTCGGAAAATATGGTGGCAAAGTGCTTGGATGTTAAAAGCATTATTTGCATGCAAAATTCTAAACAGAATAATCAGCATAAACCTGGAAGAGACAAACACCATTTTTCATACAAACTAACAGGCAAACACAATCGCGATTTTTTTTCCTCTCTCCATACGTTGCTTTGGAATAAAGCAAAATTCCCTTAGGATTTATTCAACATTTTTGTAATCACCTTTAATGGAAGAAGAACAAAAAATCGTGAAGATTTGAATTGGAAATGCCACATCATTATCTGCGGTGTTGTAAAACACCTAGAAATCACCTGTCAATACCTATTTTTTATTTCTACCTCTAAGCTAAACCCTTTTTTGCAGATTTTTTTTCGAGAGAAAATAAAAACCAAACGCATACTCAAATTTCTCCATTTTATTATTATATTTATAAAAGAGACTTCCAAACAACCTGAAATAATACTCAATCTGGACCGTAATCAAAAGTTATATTCGAAGAAAATCGAATTTATCTATTTAGCATTCATAATGAGTACTTAGATCAATAGGTTGTAAACTGAAGTGAAAATTCCACAAAAATCAACATCTTTTTTTTCTCTTTTGACAAGCAAACAGATTGGCCGAGCAGCCAGTGAATTTTAGGTGAAATAAAATGCAAAAATATTCAGCTAAACGATAAAGTTCATTAAAATTGGATTAAAGTTTATTATATTGAAGCTCTCAGCTACGCCCTTAAGCAGAAACAATGGCGTGCATTCAACTGAATATGATGAACCTTCTCATCTAGCTTTTGAGAAGGAACATTTTTCGTTTGCGTTGTGAGGAATTTGATGTTTAAGCACTTTAAATTCTAACAAAGCATCGATTTCTGTCTGTTTGTGAGCGTTGCATCATTTATTCCTTCTTTTTGTTAGTCTTTGTTTTGTAAACATATCCAGTGAGAGGTGCAAATTAAATGGCTGATGTTTTTTTATAGACCATACCTCACGCTGGATGTTTTTTTACAGACCATACCTCACCCTGGATGTTTTTCCATTGCTAAAATAACTGGAAGTTTTGCTGTATGCATACAGGATAAGCATCAAAAAGACTGCTGTTTTTAGGAGATATTTTCAACAGAGGATAAATATCCAGCGTGAGGTATAGTCTGTTTTTTATGTAGAGAAAGAATGTAAGTAGAAAAAGGAAGGAAACAAAATGAAGAGAAATTTTTGTTGTTGGGATTGAAGTGCGATAACGTTCGCCAACAAAAAATCGTGTGAAAATGGCAAATGATAGCCAAGATTATATCTTGTCGAGACGAATGTATTTTTTTCTCGATTTTGCCATACTACATTCTTTTATGTCTTTTTATGCCGTTACTAATATACGGCTGACATTTTTATGACCCCAAAATAATATTATCAGTTCATAGTTTCTGACACATACAATGGTGATTAAAATCTTATTGGCTTCAATTGTGTGGTTTTCTGGTTTTGTGATGGAAACGCAAATGGGTGGCGCTTTTTTTAGTTTGGTTTGAAATGTAAAAGCCAAATTACCGAAATATTGGATTTAACGATTGATCCTACACATGATAACACAGGATAACAACAAAAAATTCGTCGTGCTTGCATGTTTATAATGATATACACACTTAATGAAAAACGAATTGTGGTTTTTGTGAACAATTCCAATGGCAAATTGGGTTGGTCACTTTTGAAAGCAAAAAAAAAATAACCCTTTCAATTTTCTGGTATATGCATGTAAATAGAATTCAATGATAATAGGGGTCAGGTAGACTCTGGAGCTCAGCATAAAAGGCATCTAATTCAATGCAATGGAAAATACTTTTGTTCAAATTAAAACGAACATTGTTATTTTAATAAAAACGAAAGAATTCATGGATTCATGTGGTTTAAAGAGTATTGATATGCTTTTGAATATTTTAATGCAATTTTGATCAAAAGGAGCATTTCCAAGATATCAAGCGTAAAGGTGCAACATAAAAGTCGATTTTGTTGTCATTATTTCATTTTCTATAGGTATGCCGTAATTGAATTCTTCGTCTCTTTTTATCTCTCAGTGGAATGTTTGATTCGAATTTTAGTGGAAGATTTCTTCGTATTTACGAAGAATCAACATTTATTGACTTATTTTACATAGATCTATATACAAATCATATCAATAGATAATATCGTTAAAATCTCTCCTTTTGATGCGACAAATGCTTTTTTTTAAAGAAAGAAAAAACCATTGCAAATCCAGTTCTCTTTTAAAAAGACATTCAATTCAATAAAAAAGTGAGTCTAATAGACAATGTCCACTTTTGAACAAACTGCTGAGCATTGATCATTCTGGACAAAATAGGCAACTTTATTGAACCTATATATATAAATCCAAATCAATGAACTTAGCCACTTTTTTCCACATGGAAATATTGAAATGCAGATTTTTTTCATATAAATAGAAAAGACGTTAAAATAATGAATAGTTTATTCACTATGTTTGAATTTTAAAAACACATTTTATTTTGTTCTAAAAATCCTCAATCCTCCATTGACTGAAATGTAAGATGAACATTTGTTTGACCCTCTCGATTGTCATTTCAAAATAAAAAAGATTGGATAAACAGCTCTCCAATTGTGTGATTTTTCCAATATATCTGAGTACCATGCGCGCCTATGCCAATCGCCAATGGAATTTTCGAAATCTTTTCCTCTGTCTCTTCATTTGAAGCGTATTCATCTCACCAATTCAAATCTGGTATTTTTCATCTAAAATGTACACGTCCGTATTGAACACTTTGCATATATATTTTTTTATAAATGTTCAACATAAAGTTAAAATCTGTTTCTCAATTTATTGTTGCTTACGTCAGCCAATTTGTATGTATTTGTTTTTATCATATAGATGACGGCACGACCTATTGAACGAACGGAATTTTACTCACAATCAGATATTTGTTTTGACTTGTGTTACAAAATCAGACATAAGAGCGCCTTTCACTCTATCGCCGATCCTTCTGTCGCGTACAGTATTAGAAGATGATGCTATCAATTTAATTTTACTTTTCAACTGCTCCTTTGTGCGATGATTTACGACAACATGCGCAACGAAATAAACCGACGAAAAGCCTGGAGATTACAAAAAACATATACCGCAAATAGAATCAAGACCACACATAAGCCCACATTCCCTTAGTGCGAAGCAATTGGTGAACTTTATTCCTGGACAACGAATTGAGTAGATGAAGACGAACTAAAAGGCAAAGCAGAGAAGGAGAAAAGAAAAGAAAGGAAAAGGAAAACAATAAAGGAAGTAGTTGATAATCGTATTCAAAACTTTTAGCATCCAAATCTGAAACATACGCATGAACCACTTTATCATTGAGATGTATTCAGTATACTTAATCCCTTCGTGAAAGAAACGAGAATTCAAGAATTTGCCCTTTTTCACAATCACTCCGCTTTCGCACAGTCGTAACAATGCTGACTCTATTTCCACCCAGATTCTTTCTTCTTTTTTCGGTTTCTCTTTGCTTTTCTTATTTTTCATCTCAACATACGACGTGAATGGTTTGCGTTGTCGAGACACTGCGTACGAATACTTAGATCCGCACTACATTTTCTTCAAATACATTACATAAAACCATAAAACGCTTTTCCTTATCGACTTGATGTCTAACAATCGTTACAAAGCGCTACGTTTTTTTATGCTTTCATTCACATATTGTTGTTAGCTCCACTTGAGCCAATTGGACGATGACGGGAGAAAGAGTGACGAAAAAAAACACCAACGTGGACTGAAAAATGAAATGCGATACCAAGTTATTTTATTGCTGCAATGAGCCAGCGGGAATAATGTATCCATGAAGAAGGAAACGAAGAGAAAGAGAAAGACATAATAGAATAAACGAAAGCAAAGTATATGCTTGAGAAAAGCATTTATCGTTGAATTATGCTAAAAAAATTTTGTCAAATATATGCGACAGTGAAATGACATGTAATTCTTTTTTATATCTGATTTTTTTTTATCGACAATTTTTGAATGGGCTTTAACAAATGAAAACTACTCATTTTTTGTTGGCGGTCGTATATGGGAGTGAATATTTGTATATGTGGTTTTTTTCATATGCGATGTTTTGTCCTCATATTTGGCATCTTTTTGCTAATGAAAACTAATCACTACCAAATTTAGACGAACCATTCGTTTGTGTGAGAGTTCACATAAAATTATCGCCGAAAAGCATGCAGCAACATAATTTCTGTCATTTGAAAAAAATGTGTGCTTCTTTTATGAAATTTATGCATCCATTTCCGATTTCAAATGACTTTTTCCATGAAAAAGCATAAGCACGTGAAATCATTTGTAAGTGGATAAAAGCACGCAAACGAAATGTAGCAAAATGAACCAAATAACATTGGTACGATTTTACCAACAAATGGAAACGATCAGGTGTTGTAACAATTTTATTTTATTTCGGTTAACTTTCTCAAATCCACACTCTGCTCGAGAGAATGATAAAATTAAAAAGCCCTTTGATTTTTTAAGTGGTTGAATCGAACCACATACTCCGACCATTGCTCTTCATTCCCGTGTAATTTGACACGACATCTAAATCATACAGTCAATGACATGCATTCATACACAC